GTCAGTAGGTTGGTGAGCAGGTTTAGTATCAGCGACAAGTTGAGTTGTGGGACTGGAGAATTTGAAGAAGAGTGCGCTGATTTTGATGTTGCTGCGGAGTATGTCAATGTAGTGTTTTGTTTAGGGTGAGGTGGTGGAGGAGGGGGGGTTGAGATTGGGTGTGAGGATTTATTTTGAACGAAGTCTTGGGTTGGAGTTGGAGATACCTGCTGTTTCTGGGCCATGAATTGGGGGCAGCCACGAAAATTTGCCGTGTGTTGGCCGCCGCAGTTGCAGCATGTCGGAGGTTGCTCGAGAGTTTTTGGACAGGCGTTTGCATTGTGGTTACCGGCGCATTTTACACATCGCGGCGGATGACCACAGTTACGTGAACCATGGCCAAAGCGTTGACATGAAAAGCACTGGGCCGGGCCGGAGGGTTTGAGGGGTTCAACTGAGATTTGCAAATAAAACAAGTTTGTGAGAAGAAAAATGTCCTTAGCAGACGGATTTGCGGCGATGTGCACTACACATATCGGCATAGGTTTTTCGGGGGTACCAAAGCGGCGGACGTAGTTCACGGAGTAACCTAGAGTAACTAACTCGTCTTTTAGTTCGTCAGTTGATATATCAGTCGGAATGCCCTTTAGAACGACTTTTACAGAACGTTCCTCGGGGAGAGAAAAAGTGTGGAATTCGGTTCCCAGGTGTAACAGAGTCTTTTGGATCAGGCGGAATTGGGTAGTATCGGCTGCTCGTAGGGTTACCCGGTCGCCGGAGGATTTTGCTGATAGAGAGCTCGGTTGCAAGTTTTGGATTGAATAGATGGTGGGCGCGGCCTTCCGCCAGGAAGCGGAACTCAGTATGATAGGTGGAGGTCTGGAGACTGAAGGAGTTTTGGACGGAACTTGAGTGGCTGAGAGTAAGGTGTTTACTGAGTGTACGGAAGTAAGTGATGATAGGGAGTGGTGGGTTGAGGTGCTAGAGTCGGAAAAAGAGTCTAGGGTTTCAGAGTCGGAAGTACTGGAGTTAGATTGTATTGGGGAAGGGGGAGCCGAACGTTGTTTTGGTATTTTTGAAGGTGGTTTGGTCGGTTGGTCTCCGACCTTCTTACGCTTGTTGTTCCTGGTCATTTCAGGTGGTGTGGGATGTTGGGGAGGGGATGGATGGGATGCTGTGGCAATGTGAGGGCGCGGCCCCACGACAGCTGTTGACGGAGGGACGTCGCTTTCGCGGCGGCTTACTTGTGGGCGCTGGTGCCCTGTCGGAGAGCGGTGAAAACGGCTGATTTGTGTTGACGTCGACGTCGCTTCCGCGGCGGCTTGTTTTGGGCGCTGGTGCCCTGTTGAGAGCGGTGAAAACGGCTGTTGGTGAAGATGTCGCTTCCGCGGCGGCTTGCTGTGGGCGCTGGTGCCCTGTTGAGAGCCGTGAGAACGGCTGTTTAGGTGACGGTTCGGGTGTGAACCGTGGGCGCTGATGCCCTGCTGAGAGCGGTGAAAACGGCTGTTTGGTGACGGTTCGGGTGTGAACCGTGGGCGCTGATGCCCTGTTGAGAGCGGTGACTAGATTGGACTTGCCTTTATAGGACGGCCTATGGCCTATTTAGAGCTCCAGGCAGTTGCCTTTTCTCTCTAGTTTGATTTGGATTGCTTTAAGTTTTTAGGACTGTTTGTTTTTGAATTTTATGCTGATAGTTTTTGTATGTGTTGGTATCTTGATATTGAGGCCTTGTAGTAAAAAGTCTGGGTTGCGTGTTTTATGATGACTGAGAGGGGTTCTAGGTTTGCTGATCTTTGGATAGCTTCATTTCTGGTAAGATAGTGCATGCCCGTTATTTGTCTTAATGTTGTGTTTTGTACGACCTCCATTTTCTTCAGGCTTGACTTGCTAATTTGTGGCGCCCACGCAACTGAGCCGTATAGGATAATTGGTTTTATATACATGTTGTATATTTGTATTTTTGTTTTTAGCGGTATAGGAGATTTATTGTTTAATATTGGGTAGAGGGATGTTCTTGCTCCTTTTGCTTTTTGCGTTGCGATTTTTACATGTTGATGCATATGTAATTTTGAGTCGATAGTTAGGTGACTAGATTGTCGAGAGTGTCCGGTATTTATACCCTTTTCGACAATCTAGTCCATCGTTGATTGGTCCACGTAATATGTTTTAGACGAGTGAAAATCACACCGTTGAACGGACATTCCTATCTATCATGTGTGATTTTCACTCGTCATATCGTGTCCTTTTTTCAATCGCCTTCCCTTGGTGGGTGTTTGTTCCGTAACAATACCCCCCCCCAGATTTGTGCTGGGGTGGGAACCACTCAGCACAAATTTTCATTCGTGCGGAACAAATGTGTCCGTGTGTGTGCCGCTTTGTATGCAGCTGTATTAACTTAATTAATGATGATTTGATTGTGACTTTGCTGATTTATATATTTTGTTTCGTGACGTTGTGTGCGTTTTGATTGGTCCATCCGACTGACCAATCCTATACATGATATTTATTATTGGCAATTGTTTGGTCTGTAATACGGACGAATTTCAGAGATGTTTGTCAGCTGTTGTTTGTCCGTTGTTGGGTCTCGTATTACTAATGTATTCTGGCTTATTATTTCTACTACCTCGTACGGCCCGTTGAAAAGGTTGAACAGTTTCCTTACTTCCCCGTGTTCTGCATTTGACTGTTGGTGGTTTTTTATAAGTATCTGTTGTCCGACTTCGTATTTGTGTATATATGGGTAACCATTATTTTCATTGTTCAATGGGATCTCATATTCTTCATTTTTCGTTAGTTCACTTGCAGTGATCATGGACGTTAAATTACTTTTTTTTTTTTGTGCGGTTGTAGTTTTATGTTTTGCTTGACAAATGATATTCGTTTTATGTGTTTTTCGGAAATGACGGGATCAGTAGCTATTGGTCTTCCATCACCATAGCCTCCCCGTATAAGTTTTTTGTATCGTCGTCGATAATGTTTGCCTCTCCCTCCTCATTGGCTGACTCGTCATTTGTGTCATCGTGTGTTACGAGGCATCTGATTGTTTTTGTATCTTGCGCTGATGTATACTGTGTTTGTCCACTTGTCCCATTTATCGGTCGTTGGGCTGATTGTCGCGGACCTGATTGTTGAGTGCTATTTTGTTGTATAGACCCCGTATGTGCATATCGGTCCCTGACTTGCTGCGAATTATTGCCATTCGTGTTACCGTACCGACTAGTGAATGGTTGTTTATTAGTTGTCATTTGCTGATCGGTACTGTTCTGTTTGTTATAACTATTTTCTAATTCTCCCAACTTTTCCCATATATTAAGGAACTTTTTCTCTTGCGTTGTCTGTATGTAAGCCTGAATGGCTATAGGGAAATGCTTTGTTATTAGGTTAATGGCTTGTAATTCGTCCATTTTTGGAGAGTCCAGGTGCTTAAGCTCTGTCATCCAATAATTGAAATGTTCCTGGAAATTATTGTTTATTGGTTTTTTTCCTGCTTCCGTGCACTTTATAAATGTGTCCCATTGACGGTCTTCCGAAAAGAAGTGTTTCAAAAACAGTGTCTTAAACGTATCTTCGTTCGGTACCACGTCTTTGATCATGGTGAACCATTTTGCCGCTTTCCCTCTCATGCAATTTTCGATTGTAGTTATTCGATCAACTTGGGTGATGTGTTTGTGCAATAAGTACGAGTTCAGGTTTTTCAAGAATTGTTTCGGGTGCTCGCTCGGTTCGCCACTGAAAGTTGGCATTGTTAGTTCGATGTTGCTTGCCCTTGTACTTGCGTTGTCTTGACTCGCTGTTTTTACCAATTGGATGTCCCTCTCACGTCTTGCTGCTTCGATCGTTATTTTTGTATCCGTGTCATTGATTAGTTGTTTAATTATATCCGTAGCGTCTCGTAACTCCCTAGTTAGGTTTTCGAGTGCGGTGTTCTGAGTATTTACTTCCTCCTGTAGCAGTTGCATCGTGTCTTCCAGTTGCTGGATCCGATCTGCCTGCGTACTCTTCACCATTTTGTCGGTGTAATCTCGGAGTCGTGGCCTTCTTGCCACTGGTTGGGCGCCAGTTGAAACGGTGCGTCCGGTTGGACGACCCGTGTCGTAAATAAAATAACAATTGTGTGCTCGATAATCAAGTTTTTCTATTGCTAGGTTAAATTATAATTTATATTTACAATATTGGGACAAGTAAAGCGTCGATTTGTGCCGACCGGACTTAAATAAGTGAGTCGGCACAATCGGAGGCGCTTGGGTATTGTGGTCGGACAATTGTCGGACCCTATCTTCACAAGTGTTTTTATAATGATTTATATAAGTTATACAATATGATCGGCTAGGAAGCCGGCCGTCGTCGGTGCAGACTTAAGTCAAGCGGCACCCCGACGACGAACCAGACTTGGGTCGGACAACTTAATCAAGTGCCGAGGTTAGGGTCGTGGTGGCCCTGAAAAGGGCCATTTAATGTTGTCACGCCGTGAGTGGTCGGCCTATCCGGTGATCCCGTAGGCTTGGGTGGTTGAGTGGCGGTCGGGCGGCCTCGTCACGGCAAGAGTACACTGACACTGGTCTCACCCCGTTGAGCGGCAGTCACGGGGTTGGTTGGTTCTGACGATGATGGCGTTGTTGATCGACCGATCTTTGCGCCCGTAGATAGGTGGTCGACGGGTCGTTATTGTTCGGCAGTTGAATGACGTTTACAGCCGTGGAGCGGCGTCGTTGTCGATATGCGTCGGTATGATGATATACGCAATCGGGAACGGCGGGAACGTCGGTGGTCTGCGGTCGAATGGCGCTGATAGCCGTGGAGCGGCGTTGTCGTCGGTCTTCGGCGGTCGATTTCTGGTCCTGGTCTTCTTGCTATCGGAACGTTTCTTGGAGATGTTGATAGTTTGAAGGATTGAAGTGGACTGACTAGATTATTGCTATTGCTATGAGTGACGGCCTGTGGCCTAATGGGAAGTACCAGACTTATGTCTTTGTCTTCCTGTATGATGTAATTCTCGGATTTTTGGCTTGTTTATTTAGGTGTTATTTTTTGAAGTAGAAAGGTCTTGATTTACATATAGGGTCTTCTGGGTCTGGTACTCCTAATTTTTGAATGTGTGGGTAGAGGGATCTTGTGTTTTTATTAAACATTATCGTAGTGGCTTTCCTGGCATCTTCCTCTATTGACGGGATTTTAGTTATTGCGAGTAAGGATTTGTTTGACTGGTATGGTGGAATGGCTGTTATTGATCTTAGTCCTACGTTTTGCACGGCTTCGATCTTCTTCCAGTTTGACCTACTAATTTTAGGCCCCCATGCAGGTGCGGCGTAGAGGAGGATGGGCCTTATATATATTTTAAATAGAGATAGTCTTGCATTAATTGGGATATGGCTTTTGCTATTTAGCAGCGGATAGAGTGCCGCTCTTGATCGTTTGGCCTTGTTAATTATGTCCTCAACATGATTGTGGAGACTTAGGGACTTGTTTAATGTTACTCCTAAATATTTTGCATCGCTTGACCAGTTGATTTCCGTGTTGTGGATCGTAATTTTCTTTAATTTAGTTGTTGCTTTCGTTCCAAAGAGAATTGCAACTGTTTTGGAAACATTTAGTCGTAATCTCCACTGAGTGAGCCATCTCGTTGTTATGTTTATTTGCCGTTGTAGTCTTAGTATAGCGTAGGTAGCGTTTTTGTTGCTAGTGTGAAACATAGTGTCATCCGCAAACAGAGATGTTGATACCTGTGGTTCGGAAGGTAGGTCGTTGATGAACACGGTATACAATAGTGGGGATAAGCATGAGCCCTGCGGAACGCCTGCTTCGATTTGCCTTGTTGTTGACTGGTGGTGGGATATCTTGATAAAGAATTGTCTATTGGTCAGGAATGATTTGATGAGTTTTACCAAGTTAATGGGTGTTCTCGTACCGAGGAGTTTGTGTATAAGACCGTTGTGCCATACCCTGTCGAATGCTTTTTCCATATCTAAGAATAGTGCTGCAGTACGCTGTTTTCGGCCTTGGCTGACAGATAGGTCGTCAATTAGTTTTGTTAGTTGTAGTGTGGTGGAGTGTCCTGTTCTGAAGGCATGTTGTTCTGGACGGGGTTCAATATATTTTTTCAGTCTGAACAAGATTAATTTTTCGAGAATTTTTGACATTGTATTGAGTAACGATATTGGACGATAGTTTTCTGGAGCCGAGTGGGGTTTTCCTGGTTTAGGAATCATAATTACAGCTGCGGTTTTCCAGTATTTCGGAAAGTATGAGTATCTTAGACATGCAGTGTATATTCTGGCAAGAGTTATAATTGATGAGCTGGGCAAGTTTTTAAGGGTGGTATTGGTTATTTGATCCATGCCTGGAGCTTTGGCTTTTGGTAGTTTCTTGATGATATCTAGGACTTCATTTGGAGTGATATAGTCGTTGTTTGGTGTTTGGTCGTCGTTGATTATTTGGATGGAGTGTTCCACTTCTTTGTTTGGAGGACCTGGATTATTTGAAAATTGAGTACTCATCGTGTCCGCAAAAAGTTCAGCTTTCAGTTTTTCGTCAAAGATACGTATTCCACTTGTTGTTTTCAGTGGAGCGCATGCCGGTTTTTTCCGTAGTAACCTGCGGTTTAGCTTATAAATTGATTTGTCTTCGAAATTTAAAGTCTGAGTAAAGGTATCCCATTCTTCTTGCCTGTGGGTCTGTAATAGTTTTTTAACATAGTTGATTTGTGCGTTGTACATTTTCTTGTATGTTGGGTCATGGGTTTGTTGCCACCGTTTCCTTAGGATGCGTTTAGTTTCTATTTCTAATAATATTTCCGGTGAGATGGGTGTCCTGTTTGGTTGATTTAATAAGGAGGAATTGTTTGAAAGAGCTTTTTGTATGGATTTTGTTAGTTTCCCGATATTGTCTTCAATCTCCTTTGGATTAGTGATGGCTTGGTGTTTGATTGGGTGCATTGTCATTTCAGCCTTAAACTTCTTCCAGTTAATTCTACGATTTGCTAGAGGAGGTGTGTTTGTTTTAGGTGATTTGTTGATAGTAATTAGGATTGGGTTGTGATCTGAAGAGAGATCGTTGAAATTTGATATTGTCATATCTTGTTGCAGGTTTGTTAGTGTAATATCCAGTACATCAGGGTTGTGGTGTGGTATAAATGGAAAATGGGTTGGTGAATCTGGGGCGCAAATGGTGTATTGACCGTTCCTTTCCATATGGTCCAGTAGAATTTTCCCCGTCTGGTTTGTTCGTCTGCTGTGCCATGATGGGTGTTTTGCGTTTAAGTCGCCTGCTATAATAAAGGATTCGGTACCATTGGTTAGGGCATCGATGTCTTTGATTTCAATCTTATCTCCTGGACTTTTATATACTGCCGATACACGTACGGTTTTTGCGCCTATTGCCATGGCGATAGTGGTGGAGTCTAGTTTTGTTTTAATGAAGATTTCTTCATGAATTATGTTATTTTTTACTAGTATTGCTGTGCCACCAGATGAGGGGCACTCAGGTTTGGGTGGACGGTCTGTTCGATATGTGTAGTAGTTTGGTAATTTGAGAGGGGCTGTTTTGTTTAGGCGGGTTTCCCCGAGTAGTATGATGTCAATTTTGTTTTTCCGAGTGAATTCTGCAAGTTCGTAAGTTTTGTTTGTTATACCATTGCAGTTCCATTGTAGTATTCTCAGTTCATCCATCTTGGTTTAGGGAAACTGAGTCTATTATTGACATTATTGTAGATAGGATGGTTTCCTTGGCAAAGTTGTCTACACAGTCTTGGATGGTAGAAAGGAGTTGTTTAATGATCTTTAGTATTTGGGTAGCGGATATCGTAGGTTCTTTTGCTGTAGTTGGGTTTAGTGTGTTTCTAATGTTATCTGGATTGTGACTTCCTGTTGTATTTTTGGTGACAGCTGAGTATGTTTTGTGAGACGCAGGTTGTTGGCTGGTGTTCAGGTCGTAGGTTTTTGATAGGATTTCAGTGGGTTTATTCTTCTTAAACGAGTTTTGTATTTGAGTGGATTTTTGTTTGACGATCTCTGTATATGAAGGACAGCCTCGGTAGTTGGCCGTGTGGTCTCCATTGCAGTTGCAGCAGGTGGCTTTTGTATCTTTATCTTTAGTGCATGCGCTACTAGCGTGATTGTTGCCACATTTAACACAGCGAGGTGTGTGGCCGCATTGTAGAGAAGAGTGTCCGAATCGTTGGCACGAAAAGCACTGTGCTGGGCCGGATGATCTGTACGGTTCTACTATGACTTTAACGTAAAATAGGTTGCTAATAGTGAAAATGTCTTTAACATTTGGTGAGCGTTTTAAGGATACCATATGTATTGGGATTCTTTTGTCGCCTTTTTGGAAAGCACGTATAAAATTAGGTTCAAATCCGATATCAAAAAGTTCTTTTGAGAGCTCGACTAGATTGTCGAGAGTGTCCGGTATTTATACCCTTTTCGACAATCTAGTCCATCGTTGATTGGTCCACGTAATATGTTTTAGACGAGTGAAAATCACACCGTTGAACGGACATTCCTATCTATCATGTGTGATTTTCACTCGTCATATCGTGTCCTTTTTTCAATCGCCTTCCCTTGGTGGGTGTTTGTTCCGTAACAAATGATATGCAATACATTTTTACATAGACATATTAACTACTTAATATGTCTGTATGCAAATATCACGGTCCACAGACCACGAACCAAGACGTATTTAAGATATTTTGTTTATTTCAAAAAACGATGGGAGCCATAGAAAAGAGATTACCTAAATGGGAGTGCGTTAGCATTATATCTCCTCTGGCCCTCCATAATTCCACGGAAAAAAAAAGATCATATAAGATATAAATAATTACATATTCATAGTCAATGCTAATACCTATAAAGTCTATAGTACAGACTATACAGTAGGTATGTCCCAGAAGTCCCATATCACCCTTAATATCTCCATGGAAAATCAATATATTTAAATGCCGTTTTTTTTACAGTAATAACTAATAAGTATGGAAATTCTGATTGAATATAGCATAATATTCGATTTTTTTTCAAAAATTCAAAATTTATCAAAAAATTTTTAGGCAAATAAGTTTTTTAAATTTCCAAGATAGCCATTTGGTTGATCGTATTTTTTAAAACAGTTAAAAAAAAAAATATTAAAATGTAATGAAAATTGCCCAAGTTAGAGGTAATTATTATTTTGAATTTCTAAGAATAATAGTTGTGCACGCATATGGCATGACATTAGCAAAATACGATTCACGTGTTAATTATTACAATCAATTAAGCTGATTTTTCGGCTAAAATTAAAAATAATAACTAACTCTAACTTGGGCAACTTTCATTAAATTTTAATATTTTTTTTTAACGGTTTTAAAAATACGATCAACAAATTGGCTATCTCGAAAATTTAAAAAACTTATTTGCCTAAAAAATTTTTTAGATAATTTTTGAATTTTTTAAACAAATAAACCGAAAATTATGCTATTCAATCAGAATTTCCATACTTATGACTGTAAAAAAAACTGCATTTAAATATATTGATTTTCCACGGTAATAATAAGGGTGATACGGGACTTCTGGGACACGCTGTATAGTAAATTATTATTTATTATAATATACGTTATGGCAAAAAGTTTGAAGTCCCTACGATTTACGAATAATTACATTGAATTACAACAAAATAAGTAATACACTAATACACTAATACAGTAATACCTATAACTAACTAAATAGTGGAAATGTATTTTCGATATTTATTAATAGAAAAAGAACAACTTAAAAGAATAAGTTTCGTAAATTTAATACAAAGTTCCATGTAGACAATATAGTCATATAGATATAAGTCACTCAACTTTACTGTTGAGTCATTATATGACTCAATTATTAAATAGGTAATGATACGATTTTATTACTATTTGGCGACTGATTTACCAATGGTAAATTTTTCAAATATGTATTTTTATTTTAATGATAAACTATCTTATTCAAATATTGTTCTCAACTCTCAAGTATACACAAGTGACAAGTACACAACATTAAAATTTAAAATAGCACTATTACTATGTTAGATTAGGTATATCCTAACAAACTCTATTGATGTCAATATCCAGTTACCAATACGTATTAATTTAATAATACTAACCTGATGTCCGTTGGGTTTATAATTATAAAACATTGAATTTGAAAATGTCATTGTATGTATACATATACTACGGTAAATTAAGTTAAATCCAAATTCGCTGATTATTAACGTTATTGACCAAATACATAGGTAATTATTTTTGTAGACCAGATAGCCATGTGGAACTCAAATTCTTTAATGTAGGTATTTTTAACAATATAAATAACCCAGAAAAACGTGGTATATTATGTTGTACATATTATAGTATAACCGCCTTGACTACCTATAATATTTCATAACAAGATTATAATACGTATTAACTTACCGTTACATTTTTCAATCATGTCTTCAAATCCCCATTTGGACAAAATATTTGTTGTCAAATCTTCCATTAAAACAATTTTACAAGCAACAATGCCAAAATGGGTTAGTACTTAACTAATTAATTTTAAGAAAATGTACATAGGTACCAGTAAGAAGTAACCACATGTCCACATGTACTTTGAAAATTCTTTTATGCCAAGACAAACTATAAACGAATGAGTACCTACTAATAAGCAGAGGTTAAAGTGGGGGGATACAGAGGGATTCAGTCCCCCCTCCCTCTGATGGAGGTTAAAAAGCGTCCCCTTAAACAAATTAGAATTGTATACATTAGACATTAATACATTATACATAAAATTATATATGGAACGCTAAAAACTATATGAAGACATTACTACATTAGTCCCCTCTGGAATTTTTTCCCACTTTAACTCCTGCTTGTAAGGTACAACTTACAAATATAATATTAAATATATGACAAATTACAAATTGACAATATTGATTATATAATAATAATAATAGAATGGTTATCGTCGACGTTACGCTTGCGACTTGTGGTGACGGGAGACGGACTGAATGGAAGTGTGGTCGTGTGGAGTAGGTAGTATACATATATAGACTGCGGACTACGCGAACAGTCATCCGAAACAAGATATCGTCGGTTGGTAGAAAATTCAAAATGTAAAGGAATAAACCCACACAAATTCTAATCTTGTTTGATTAATAAAAAAATTAGCTAAATACCACTGTCTACCTAAATGGGCTAAATGTATTAATGTATAGTAGTCAGTAGATACAACTAAATAATCTAGTGAAACTCTTACATAAACGTGCCATTTTAATTACTTCAACAAACTTTATCAGTAGAACAATTATATTGTTTAACTATATAATTCTGGTTTTATTTAATATACCATTTAAGTAAATCTAACTAAAATTTGATTGCTTCAACTATATATTTGCCAACTAAAAATATTTAGCTTATATTTTTTCCGTGGCAGTATTATTATTTATTTATTTTTCTCAACTTGTGAACGTGAATTGAAAGTTGACTATAAAACTGATTTGGATACTAATCTGGAACTTTTCTACTTTAAGCACCCATTTTTAGGGATTTTGGGGGGGGTGGACGCCGCAGTGATGCCCCCGTTGCCACTCGCTCGCTGTGCTGCGCTCCGACAAAAAAATCGAAAATATCCCTCCACTTTCTATGCAACACCTCCTCAAGTTGGTTACAGGGTAACCGCTGTGTATCCACTCTTAAAATTTTCTCTTCTCTTTGTATAGATACTAACTTTGTAGTGTCGTAATCATTCTTCGAAACTATGCCCGAGCGCCAAATTCTGACTTCACCATCGTTTTCAGTGTACGCGTCACTACATCAGTCAAGAAAAATTGCAACAAAAAAAGGTGTTCCCTAAAGTAGAAATATACTGAATGTATTTCGTGAAGAATATCAAACAATTCGTCAATTTGTTAATTTGTACGTTATGCAATACGGAATTTTTTTGTCAACTGGCCTTTATGGCGCGTGCACAAGAGCGAACAAAAATAGCGAATGCGCACATGCTTACTAGCTTGTTCAATATAAGATCACTATAATCCTTAGAAGAAAAAAAATATATTACTTATCGTCATCCCATTTATTTATAAGAATATTTATAATTTTGCGTTAAAAGTATTAGTATGAACAGTTTGCATACCAATAGTCATTAGTCATTTCAAGTCGGTACTTTCGACGACCATTACCAATACACATACTATGGTATAACCAACTATATAATTGTTGGCATGATATTTTATATGGTAAATAAGATAAATTATGATTTATCTTGTATTGTATTTTACTATTTCCAAACCTGTTGTTTTTAAAAAAATAAAAACTATATTAATAATTACATATTTACTATTTTATTTTACCATTAAAAACCATGTTATTCCTAATAGGTACATTTTGTATAATGAATGGAATGTCCCCCCCCCCCCCTGATAAAATGGCAGCCGTCCCCAGCTAACATTCACTTGATAACAATATGTAAATTATATAGGAATAGGAGTATAGGAGTACCTTATCTAGTAGATATCTGTGTGTTTTATTAGTTTACCCAGTTAGTACGTTTGTACGTACTTACCGCAATTATTAGTTTAGACTTTTGAGCCTAGTGGTCAGTGGACATATTATCATTCCTCATTGAAAATTTATTTTATAAATTATAATCAAAATTTTTCATTTTATACGGTTATTCAATATAAAATGACGATAATTCTCATATAGTCATATTTGTAGGTAACTAACGTTAATTACAGCCGAATAACGTTATTTCCCGATCTAACATAATTTACCGTAACATACCTATACAGTATAATAATATATACTTTAACTGTTAATTACTTGTGATTTTCTGTTTTTGTCTAACACACACTCAACATAGGATTTTAAACTGGTTCTTTGCCAAACATAGGTACCAATTGATCTAATTTATTAAGAGATAAGAATTCTAAAAACAGATTTGAATTTGTCGTCAAGTCTACTTAAAATCGACATTCCCACGTTTTTGATTTTTTGATTTAAAAAAATTAAAACTAATTACCATCAAAGGCATATATACTAGCGAATATCATATTCTTAAAAGCATTGCATGAAAACCCGTATTTATTTCAAAGATGAAACAAATTCATATTTAAATTCCATGGTAGGTAATAGGTATTAATAATAAAAAGCATATTATTATATAGTTGTCTTCATCACATATTAGCAAAAACAAAATAAAATGTAGGTACGTTTAATACTGATAATTTTCCACTTAATGATTTCATATATAGAAAACCATATACATTTCAATTACTTTTAAAACAACATTATAGAAATGTATTATTTGTACAGTTATATAGGTACTACATCTACATGGATGCTTATTACTTATACTTTTAATGTATTATTTCATATACTTTGTAAAATAATGATGAAATCACTTGTATATTGCCATCACAAGCTTGGAAATATATTTGAAAAAATCATGATTTTTCAGGAAAATCGGTAAAAATATGCTAATTTATCCAAAATTATGATAATATTATAATTTTTATAAAATATTATACAAATATAATTTCTATGTCAAGATCATGTCTAAAATATTGAAATTCTTAATAATAACATATAACTAGTTTGCAAATCAATCCATCAATCATATCACGTTAGATATTAAATGCAACTATACACTGTAACAGAATATTTCAGTTCTAAATAGTTGACTTACTTCTCTTCAATCTACACTATAATATGATATAGTATCAAGTTATATGGCTCATACATTATATTATGTTAAAACATGTAAACATAATTTCATAAGTTCAATAAAAATGTATTCAATTGTAATTATCATCATCTATTATAAAAAAAAATTATCCATTATCGAATAATAATGTACCACAGTTTAGAGGCATCGCTAGTGCCGTCAATCTTAGCTCAAAATACTTTAGGTACGTTTTAATAAAATTTAAGTTAGTTTACATTCATTAGTTTATTCTGAAAAACCCGAACTAGCCGGAAAATTGTCTAGATCGTACGGAACACTTTGTAAAAATTAAAACTTATATTAGGTATTTTAAACTGTAATTGATTAAAAATTGCCTAAATGTTGCCCCTCATATAATAGCCGTAGCGAAGCTCCTTATTAGTATTTAATAATAGTATCATTAGTTACCAAAATAAATGTATTAAGAGACGCGTAATATTGCCGTTCTTTCATCACGGTACCCTATACTAAAGTTCTATAGACGACGGTTTCTTAGAACAAGTATTTACTATATTGGGCAATGGGCATAATCAAAGGCAAAAATGATAAATTAACAGGGAAGGAATTTTTATATTTTATTTTTAATTTGAAAAAATCCAAACTATTAAAATTCTCAGGTGGTGCATTTGCACCCCCTGCCCCCCCCTTATGGCATGCCTGGATATTGAAGAAATTATAACTAATAGATGAAAATATAAAGTATTTTAATAAATGCAGTTTAGTTTCTAAGCAATTTTTGTGAATTTTTTTCAAAATATATGTTTTGCACACTTAATAAAGTCGATTTTTTTTTGGAAGTTATGGACAAAATCTTGTTTTTAAGTTTATGGTACCAAAAAATAACATTTTTGAATTGTTTTTGTTGTAAATGTAAGTTTTTTCATCCTTAACATTTTGTTGGATTAGAAATTGTCAATCGGCTATCGTACTTACTTTTTATTTTGTTTTAAATAAAGTAATTTAATTTTAAAAAAAAAATTGAAACTAAGTCCAACCAACAAATTTTGATTGCACCATTGTTGAACAAGATTGAAGGGGATTCTAAATTCCAAGACTATATTCTAAAATAGAACAAACTAGATAAAAAATATATAACTATTAAGCAATTTGGAGAAATACAAATCCACGAAGAGCTTTATTAGGTACATATGTCATTATATTATTCTTTTTTCACATGAGATATCAGTGTTCTTGGATTTTTCGATGTACCATAATATTCTAGAATGTTAAATTTTTTATTCTTTGGTCAAATGCTTGAAAATTCAATGCAAGTCACCTCATAAAATGTTTACATTGGTTACAAAAAAAAACATATAGATAAGTACTATAGATAAGTGATATCACTACGGCTATCTCTGACTAGTGTTATCAGTTATCATTTCACCCGTCAGACCGTGCGCCAGACATATGTTTTGCACGTCTTCGGTTTCGGTGTGACGAATAATATGAATAATAATTAATAAATAGGTAAAAATTAATAGTTAATACTTAAAATTGTAATCAGTTTTAATATATTAATATGCCACATTTTCACAAAACTAATAATAATATTAGCAAGTGTTACCGCATTTTAAAGCATAGGTATCTAAAATAACCTATGGGTAGTTTAAAGTTTTTGATAGCTTGACAGCAGTTGTTGATGGATGACAAATAAAAAATGTGAATGATAATTAATTATTATAATAATATAATATTATAATATCGTCGGCTGTCATCGTTCCTTCTGTCATACCGCCCCCCCTCCCTACCACATTTATTCGAGTGCAATTACGAAAACAAATTTTATCCGTAGAACTTTCGATTTCCAACAATGTTCGTAATATCATTATGTTCCTATCGGACCCGTCCAAGTACAGACATCAAATGTTGATCCGCATAAATGTTTTCCTGGCATTGGTAATAGGCAGTAGCCTGCTTCTGTTGGGTAAGTCTATGATTCATATTATGCATCATTTTCGAATTTTGGTTTCACAATAATAATGATAGGTAGTCATGAAAAATGTTTTGTTGTTGTCATTTCTTATTTTTGACTGTATTACTATTATCATTATGGGCAAAAACTTAGGTCCACGCTCTTTTGCTCTTTGGAGAGCAAACCATCGTTTGAACTGAAAGTTCCAATTTTATTTTTATTGTAATTAGATACCCGCTTCTATTATATCTAGGTATTGTATACGTATAACACTTGTATCGTTGTTATTAAACTTTTATATTTTAGTCCTATTTGCATTTATGATACATTTCTTATTGATAGCATATTATGCAATTAGTTTTACCTATTTAAATTAAAATATTAACAACAGTCTTGGGTTAAGGTAATATTAAACTTATCATAAAATGTTCAATTCTTATATGTATCTTAGGTTTGGGTTTTTAAGACTAAAAAATAGTTTTTATGCTGCTAATTGCAGACAACTATCTTTTATTTTGATGTATTTGTCAACATTTAAATCGAAACTTATATTGAAAAATGTTGTAAGAAAGTATACTTTTCCATCATCTTATTAGTGGATTATTTATATAGCATAAGTAGGTAGATAGGTGCGGGTTTATAGAAAACAACATTTAACCACTTACCTATCTAGGTTAAATAAAAGATAAAAGTCGAAACATTTGAATTCAAACCTGTTAGATATTAATAGGTCTTACTTATACCCACCTATTTTAATCACATTTAAATTTATTCAATCTTATTAAATTATGTATTATATTATTTGTATTATTATTTTAGGATTAATCTATTGCTTTGTATCAAATAATGGTATTCATAACCATGAATTTCAAGTGTCAAACAAAAACGAGTTTCAGGTTTTTGAAACTGTTGAATCTGAACACAGTACAGATCTTATTAATAAACTGAAAAAAGATCTTGCTACCGCAAATGAGAAAATAGAACAACTCGAAAACAAGATGCAAGGGTTTGAAGAACGTATCAGAAAGCCTTATCCAAATGTAAAATATTTAAACTACCGTTCAAAAAAACGTATTCTGGTAAGATGAAAAAAAAAATAACCCACGTCCAAATCCATTGATAAAATAATAAAATTAAGATACAATGTTTAGTCTCTCTCTTTCTCTCTTATAGCCTTGTGCTTTTATATTACAAATACAAATTATTTATACTTATGCCATAATGTTCTATACCTAGTTTATCTGTGATTTTAATATAACCATTAAACAACCATATTGAATGGGCCACATTGCTGAGGTTTTAAAAATTACTTTTATAAGTAGAAAGTTAAGATTAATGTTAAACTGTTAAAGTGATAAAAAGAGAAGTAATAAGAATTATTAAATAATAAAACTTGAATTATTATGATTTGTAAATAAATTTACAAACTTTAAAATTGTATTATGTTATAATTTTCCAGGTTACTGGTGGTGCTGGTTTTGTTGGATCTCATTTGGTTGATAAATTGATGAAAGCCGGTCATGACATTACTGTTGTAGATAATTTTTTCACTGGAGTTAAAGCAAATGTTGAACAGTGGATTGGTCATGCTAACTTTGAGTTAATTCATCAAGACATAGTCAATCCTCTTTTTGTTGAAGTAGATGAGATTTATCATTTAGCTTCACCTGCATCCCCTCAACATTACATGTTCAACCCAGTAAAAACAATTAAGACTAATACAATAGGAACAATTAATATGTTAGGTTTGTTATAAAAAATCCATTCTACAAAGGAATCTAATATAAAAAAAGACCAATAATGTTTAAAAAAAAAACAGTTATTTTAACTAATAAAATTTAAAAAAATACTTTAAATAAATAATTAAAAATAATTGAATTATCCCTTTTATAATCTTTTTTTAGGACTGGCAAAGCGAGTAGGTGCCAAAGTCTTAATTGCAAGCACTTCTGAAGTCTATGGTGATCCTGAAGTACACCCACAACCAGAAACCTATTGGGGACATGTCAATCCCATTGGTATGTGTACAATATTGTATAGTTATTTTTATGATCTGATTTTTACTTGATGTGTTTGCAGTTTGCATACTTATTTGGTAGAATCTTATAACAAATTAGATTTGATACATTTTAGTAATTTCAAATATATAGGCCAAAGCCAAATATATTAAATGCATATTTTTGTTTTTTATATTGTATAGGTTTTCAAACAATTGTATATACTTTAAGTTAATACTTTTAAAATATAAATCTTACTACTCTTTGTTTAGTTTTTGAACTAGTTAATAATTTTAAACATCATATTTTATGCCTAAAATTTTGAACTTAAGTATAACTAAAATTATTGTTCTGTAATTATTAAGGTCCACGCGCTTGTTATGATGAAGGTAAAAGAGTTTCTGAAACATTGAGTTATGCGTATGCAAAGCATGAAAAAGTATCAGTTCGTGTCGCCAGAATATTTAATACGCATGGACCTCGAATGCATATGAATGACGGACGGGTAGTTTCCAACTTTATATTACAGGCTCTCCGAAATGAACCGATTACTGTAAGAAATACAATATTATATATGTTCTAATTAATTGTATATTATTTTTCCAATTTTTTTTTTTTTTTTTTGTAGGTATACGGTAGAGGTAATCAAACACGTTCATTTCAATATGTATCTGATCTAGTAAATGGACTGATTGCCTTAATGGATTCCAATTATACCCAGCCAGTCAATCTTGGAAACCCAACTGAACATACCATTAACGGTAAGTTTTACTATTGACATTGTAAATTACCATTCAGTTACCTACATACCACTATTTTTAATGTTAAAAAAAAATTTAGAAAATTAATGCAGTTTTATAACAGCTAATTTTATTTTATGTCGAAATCGTATTTTAGTAGACTTACCTATCAATCGAATTTCAATATTTAATGATTTTTAATCTGTGCAATAATATATGTGTCCATTATGTATTATATTTTGTAATAATATTTAAAAAAATGGAAACTAGGTGTATCAAGTCAATTGATAATTTTGCATAAACGCTTAGGCATATCCATGGGCGGATTGGCGATTTTTTTTCGGCTTAGGGAATATGAATCAAACCGGCCCTTGAACCTCAAAAATAACTATTATTACCCCCTAAAAACAGAATTTTATGTCTTTTAACACATACAATAAGGTGTTCCTTAATTTACAATTTCAACATTTGTTCGGTCTCTCTTTTGAATTAGTTAAATATTTTATAACTATAATAGTCTTGGGTTAGTCAAATAAGGTTAAGCTATTCCGAACTTGAACTTGAAGTTTGAATATATACATTTATCAATATTTACAGAAAATATCTTTAAATATTTTGTAACCACTATAAATATAAAAACATTTTGTATTGTAGTTAAAAGTTAATTATATTTTCTAAACTTTTTATGGAAATATATTTTATTTTATTTCTTGTCTTAATATGACTATATTCTATATTGTCTTTACTGTATAATAACATAATTTAATACACAGATCACAATCATTAAGGCTATTGGAAGCAGGTCGTTTTTTGTGCATTAGAACCAATAAGCGGAAGAAAAAAAATTATACTTCCAGAAGTTCAATTTTAAGTATGAAAAAAATATTTAATTCCTTATTTTCTTTTCTAGGTTATGTAGGAAATGGATTTTTTATTTTTTATTTATTATCACTAAAGTAAAGGTTAATTTGGAAAAAATAAAAATAAAAATTTGGTACTATACTAATTTATTAAGCAATACAAAAATTCATTTCCTACATATGTACCTTAGAAAAGAAAATAAGGAATTAAATATGTTTTCATAATTAAAATCAGAATTTTTCTTCTGCTTATTGAGACTTTCATGTTGAAACTTTTTTGATCTAAAAATATTGTGACGTTTAACTGTACGTATGTAGGTACGTGATGGATTTCCAAGAATCTTAGCATGAACTGTTCGGGGAACTTACGCACATTAATAATCAGTCACTGTACACACAGTCACACATCACTCTCAATGGATATATGGAAATAGAATATTTCTTAAATCCAATTCCTTAAAAATGGTTCGCTTTCATGAGCCATAATTACCGATTGCCTATTGGCTATAATTATAATATATAGGGCATAGACAGATAGGCATGATATTATAGGTATTATGATTTTAATATATTTTTTTTTCTTCCAACGCATTAATTGTAATATGCTTATTATTGCATTAATATTTATTAATTTACATGTATTCACTTATTCACTTATGATCTCAAAACACCAAAATAATATTTTTATGTGAATTTTATAAAAAAATATTTTGTCGTGGGATCTTTCCTAAAGGCCTATCCTCCCCTGGGCATAACTATCGCCTATCATTGTAAAACATATAAATAAATAACAATAATAGTTAATTGTAACTTAAAAACAATGTTTTTGTTTTTTTAAATCAAATAGTACAATCTACCAGTTGAATGCTGATAGTTGATAAATAATATATTATTTATGTATTACAGAATTTGCTGTAATAATTAAAGGGTTGGTTGGTGGAAAAAGTAAAGTAATCACAACACCTGCTGTAGAAGATGACCCACAAAGAAGAAAACCAGACATTACAAGAGCAATGACTTACCTAAATTGGAAGCCTAAGGTATATATAATATATAATAATAATATTTTTTAAATTATAATAAGTTATATTTGAATAGTCCTTCGCTATAAAATTATTTTGTTCATCACACTTTGTTTCTTTTAAGAAATAATTCCTCGCCAAGTAGATAAATTATTGAAACAAAATAAGCTTACTTAAATTCAATATACTTGGCATTTATTCATGATTTCATGATATCACATCTTTATATTGCTTTAAGATCTTATATTTTTTTACTTAGCCATTTTTGCACGTAGTTTACGAAGGATTTTTGTTGTGATATTTCTACATATAAACGAGTGTCCTGAGAGACTGATTCATAACTACGCAGAGCCGCAACTATTAGAGCTATCGATTTGACATTTTGAGGGTAGATTAATATTATAATTTCACCATGCACTGAGAAAGAATTTTGCAAAATTTTGATTTTAAGATGTTATAATTGTATACCTATATACAACAAACTATATTATTATTATTATTATTTCCATATTATTGATTATTTTCATTATTAAACATAGTCGGTATATTTAAAAATGTATATATTCAATATAATTGTATTTTGTCAATGGAATATAGACACCTCAAATAGTTATATCAATTATCGGTGATGGTACCTGTTTTATCCGTTCAATTTCATTTCATTTGTTTAACACTCAAGAATTATGCCAGGAGATCAGAAATACAATTGTTTCATATCTTTCTGATAATTGGAATAACTTTATAGTTTATTACCATGTCTTACAATTCAAATGGTGACAACTTCTCCATTGCTGAGGATTATTTACCTTTACATGGTCAATTCTGGTTATTGCAAATTGATTACAGCTGGCAATATTTTCTCATTTTTATTTTAAATGTATTATAATAATAATCTTTATTCTAAATTTGGTGTAGTTACATTCCCAGTAACTGGAAATATTAGTGGTAATTTTTAGGATTCCGTATGGTAAAATGGGACCCTTTTACTATGGTTCCGCTGTCCGTCCATTTTAATTTTGAGGGTAGATTAAGGGTAGAAATTAGTATTTATTCATTATCGGTTACCATTGGTTATTCAGATAGCTCAGGTATAACCTTCAATTGCATTTTGGAACTAATTGGAAGCACTAATTGTATTCATTTTAATTTACATTATGTTTATATTTTACAGGTGGGTTTAAAAGAAGGTTTAAAAATGACAATTGACTACTTTAAACAAGAAATAAAGAAATCACAAAAAACTGTTTGATATATAATATTATCATATTACTTATGGGTTATTAGATTTTATTTCAACTGGTTTGAAAAATAATATTTTTACTGTTTATATGTTTAATTTATTTTAAATTTGTTAACTATTGAATTTAAATTGATTCTATAAAAACATAGTACACTATTTATATGAATCTGACAATTGTTTTTTATTTATGTTTATATTTATTTAGTATTTTTTTGTAAACTTCTGTGATCTCTATAACATTTTGTCATATTGTGTTACGTAGTTATTTTCTTTTTGTTGCGTCTGTTCATTAAATCTATTGAATAAAATTAATATATATTTTTTAATTGAAGAATTATTAATATATTGTTAGCAAACTACCTGTAACCATAAAACTTCAGTTCTCTACAATGTTCATCCCTTTAAGCTTATAGGTTTATAGTTAACTCACCAATTATATGAAGCAGCTAAACCCAGGGGAGACGATCCTTATACTCAAGTATGAGTGCCGAGTGCCATAGTGAATTTGCTACATACGAATTGTGTCCAAAAATACGAAATTATAAATCGCAATACCCGAGTTGCGTCCTCAATTTTCTTGCGACATGTTCGAGTTTTGTCCTGGTTAATAATATTCATATACATATTTTCCTTAACTCTTTTACAAACTGAGGACTGTCATTTGTATAAATTGTATGGTTAAAATTATATATTATATTATAATTATCATAATTATATATTATAAATTATTTATTGTTTTAAAATGTAATGTTGATTTTATAAAATAGTGTGGTTAAAAATTGTAATTGCAATTTATTTTATAAAATGAGTAAATTTTTGAACCAACTCGAGACGTGTTATATTTTTGTTTTCAAACTCAGTCATAGTTTTTTTAATAAATTCTTCTTTTTCTACTTCCTTTCTTCGTTTGTTTTTTAAATTTGAACTTTGTATTTTAATATAAATGTCAGTTTGAACATTTCTCAATAGGTGCTTCATTAAATTGGAAAATGTTAGGATACAATGACCAGGACCGGCTCAAGCTAAAATAGTTAACTAGGCGAAATCAAATTTTGCCGCCCCTAATAATATAATATTATCAGTATTTTGAAAATGCCGCCCTCTTACTAAAGTGCTGCTTATGTGCCGCCCTAGGCGTGGGCCTATGTCGCCTACCCCTTGAGCCGGGCCTGACGATGACTAAAATATCCCATTTAATTTTGAGTGAAACGATTCATGAGTTTGAGAACTCTGCCCATTTTGATGGTTGAAATTTACTTTCCAGAGAAATGTAATTTTTTTCCAAAATAATTAAAAACAATTATATTTTGCTATTAAATCATAAGCATATGCGCAAATTCATTAAAATTACTTGGGGGGCTAACATTATTAACATCTATGTGAGTCCCCCACTCACATTGATGAAAAGCCCTACTCATCAAAAAAACTGTATATTTTTGGTAGGGCTAAAAGGATATTTGCGCCTTTGATCATAATTATTGACTATTGAATATACAATATAAATGTTCAGATGTTCTAAAGATGATGACGTACCTATACCTACGATGTATTTAAGCCAATTTTTTTTTTATCAACATATTATATAATGCTTTATAATAAAGCTTCTAATAAAAATATTATTCCCATTGTTCAGCTTATTTTATTTATTTAGATAGTTACCCAATCACGTGATTGCATAATACAATTAATACCTATGGATTAAAATTAAAACCTACCTAGTCTGTATGTCATACACCATACTTCCCATAGGTAGGTACTACCACAGAAGGTAGTCAATTATGCATGGATTTAGTTAAATTGAAAATATTAAATTCAATAAATTCAATTGTTAGAGAAAAATGAAGAAAAACCATTATTTAGTATTTTAGTGAATTCTTAATTTTTTCAACCGAAACCTACATATAAACATAGGTACGATGGTATTGACGTCATCTATTTAACAAATATGTATACATTTTTATGCTGGTTATTTATGTTATTACATCCGTATGAATAACTAATAAGTCCAGGAAAACGTAAAATATCTTCCAAAAATATACCTAAGTATAATGTACATCTACGGTTGAACACGGTACTGTTGTCTGTTGTACCTACATATCCCTGATTTTCCAACTGAGTTTTAGCAGAGCTATTTTAATTTTAATCCTAACACAATATTACCATCAATGCCATGCATGGTTGAAGTTAATTAAGTTGTTATATTATATTAATTACATTTAAAAAAAAATGTATTTTATATTTATAAAAATGTTTTATAATCAATTATTTTTAAAACGAAATACGAGAATTGCTAATTACTATAATATTATATTTAAAGTATATACCTACACATTGTAATTTTTTTACATATTCATATTAAACCAAGTGGAAAGTGTCATCAGTGGGTGGCTACTTTCCCTAAATTATGTAATTCATGTTATTTGTTCCCTCTTATGACACATATACTTATTATGTCTAGATAGAGCTTGTATATATTCTTCTCAAAAAAAAAAAAAAAAAACATATTCATATATTATGTTATTTGATGGTTATATTTAATCAAGTTGCTTTTTGACAATTTATTGTTACATATACGATTTTCAATTTTCATACATAAATAATAAATATACGGTTGGTGTTCGTAGTGTTATTAGTATTGTACTATTGTGCATACTTGAATACTTCGTTTATTATATTTGTACTGTGTAGGTACACAAATAATTAATAAGTAGAATCAGTAGGTAGGTTTAATGTTTCATATCAATCATAATTTGAATAAATTTATTAAAAAATGGAGTTGCAGGGAGTGCTTGGTGAATCAACCTGTATAAATACGACTGACATCTTACGATAATCAGTAATCACAGCCATAAAATAATATAACTTGTATAATACATTTGTAATTTATTATACTAATTAAATAAATAGAGGTCGTTATTAGCTATTCGACTGTATTAGCCGTGCAAGTGATTCACCGACAGCATCACAATCCAAACTAAACGGCTACCCGACTGACCAAAAGACGACACTGCTCAGACATGGCATTGGCAACTAGCAGACTGGCAATAGTGACAGGTGGAAACAAGGGCATCGGGTACGCCATCGTAAAGGCTCTGTGTGAACGATTCGACGGCGATGTTTACCTTACAGCTCGCGACGTCGGCAAGGGCGAGGCCGCGGTCGGACGGCTGAATGAGCTGGGTCTGAAGCCTAAGTTCCACCAGCTGGACGTGACCGACACGGGTAGCGTGGCCACGTTCGCCAAGTTTGTGGCCGACAGCTATGCGGGCATTGACGTGCTGGTCAACAACGCCGCGATCTCGTTCAAGGCGACCGCAACCGAACCGTTTGGCGTGCAAGCCGAAGAAACTCTCCGGGTCAACTACTTTGCACTGAGGTCCGTGTGCGACGCACTGTTCCCATTGCTAGTGCCCGGTGCACGTGTGGTAAATATGTCTAGCTCTACCAGCCGCCTGTCAGTGATTCCTGGTGAAGAGCTCAGGCGAACGTTGTCCTCGCCTCTGTTGACCGTCGTCCAGCTGGACACGCTGATGCGCCAGTTCGTGGAGAAAGCCAAGAGTGGCGATCATGAACAGTTCGGATGGCCGTCATTCGCATACAGCGTGTCTAAAGTTGGCGTTAGTGCGCTGACATTTATACAACAGAGGGCATTCGATGAAGACCCCAGGACTGACATTGTGATCAACAGTGTCCACCCTGGCCACGTGGACACGGACATGAAGACTCACGATGGAAGAACTACGTTTACCGTTGAACAGGGGGCCGAAGTTCCAGTTTATCTGTCTCTGTTGCCTGCAGGTGAACAAAATGTTAAAGGCTGCTATGTCTGGAGTGACAAGACCATTAGAAATTGGTGGGAATGTTAATTCAAGTAAATATTAAGTAGGTACCTAATATGCTATAAATGTAACGCAAGTCTGTATAAATTATAGAATATCAAATAAAATTAAAGTTTTTCAATTAGTCTGTTGTTTCTGTTACACTCTTTATATAGATAAATAAATGTATGTTTGTAGCTCATACTATATTCAAAAATTAATTGATCTATTTTAACGATACTAATGAGTAAATATTCATAAATCATAACCAATGATAATTTAATAACTACCTATAGTTATTAAATATTATAAGTAGGTATAGTGTCTTATTATTGTACCTACGTAGCTATGTGTCTTATTTAAATTTGCATAAACAAAACAATAGGTGTGTCTATGGTGGCAGCTTAGGGTGCCTGGGCTGCCCCTGCAATTTTTGAAAGTGGGCCGGTCAACCGAGTTTTAAGTCAGAAGGGTTACAACTTTTATTTTTAAAAAATCTTCTTTTATGTGGATATCTTTATAATTACTGTTTACTTACAAAGATATGTTCGAGAAAATTAGGTAGGTAATTTCTTTATTTTGTTAATAACATGAATTGTCAAATTGATTTCCTAACTTCGGAAATCGGAAAAACCTACTATGAAGACTTGAGAGTTGAGTCAGACGACTACGGTACGGTACGCATCTATTATTGATGTTGTATTATTTTTGATTTGTTGCTAGGTGGTGTTGTCCACGGCTGCAGATGAATAATTTTTCTGATAATACTGTAATAACTGTAGGTTATTAATAAATTGTAAATAGATAATTTAAACTTTTTTTTTAATTATATAAATATTTCATTGGGGAGGGGAGGCTTTAAAAAATATGCCCTTGGAAGTATAGGGCTTTTTTCGGTTCACTATTAAGAGGACGCCACACCCGCATGTGTTGTCTCCGTCTTACAAACGCGTAACATAGCAAATTACGTCCACGGAAAACAAACGAATCGGCATCAAAAAGTGGTTTTAGAGTAAAAATACCTATAATAAAACTTAAAGAGAACAATATTTTGGAGGGAACCTCATCGGCGTTTTTAAAAATATTAACTATTAAAAAAGTTGTGGTTATTTAAAAAAATTTAAAAAAAGAGTTTTTGTGCCTTCAATATCTAGCTGTGTATTTAGATTAATACAAAACCCCGATGAGGTTCCCTCCGAAATATTGTTCTCTTTAAGTTTTATTGTAGGTATTTTTACTCTAAAACCACTTTTTGATGCCGATTCGTTTGTTTTCCGTGGACGTAATTTGCTATGTTACGCGTTTGTAAGACGGAGACAACACATGCGGGTGTGGCGTCCTCTTAAGGTAGCGCCGGTTATTAGCTAAGCTGCCACTGCGGTTGAAGTCTAGTTACGCCTATGACTCATGATTTGTGGAACTCAACGCATATAGATAATATGTTCAACTATACAATTTTCTAGGATTCATTCGATCATGAGTATTGAATTTATAACAATATACACGTTTAAATGTTTTGAAGATAATAAAAGATCCGATAAAAGATGTAATATGATGTACCTAGTACCTATCTATACGTCAATTAATTTTGTTCGTCAACAAATTATATTATTGCTTGTAAAGCTAGCCATACACGTTCCGGTTTGCCGGAGAGGTCGGACTGCACAGTTTAACCTGCACAGTTTTTACCGATTTCCGATGACGACATACACGCCACGATTTGCCGGATACGTAGGACTGCGCAGTCACACGCTTTCCGGCCAAAATAGTCCTCAGCTGCAGGTCGTCGAATGTTCAAAATATTTATATTTTTTCGCCGTTTTTTCAATCAGATTTTTTAACATATTTTTCACATTTTTTTTTTAATTCACATACAATATGTCAGTCCTAGACGACGATGCCATAGCTTTGGTAGGCTTAGCTCTAATTCTTAAAAACAAAAAACAAAAAAAACGCGAAAAATGGGCCAAAGATTGGTTAGGTTAGATGAGTATAGATACTATTAGGTACTTTATATTATATTACTGTCTATACTCGATGCCCAATGGTATTAGTACCTTATAGCCAATTACAGAGGTTGACACTATTAATAGGTAGTTTACTATGTTATAAAAGATTTAAAATATAAGTGGATATTTATTATTTACCAGGAATTTTTATAGGTACTTCACATAGTTTATTTTAAGAAATATTTCAGTCGGCATAAATTATATTTCAGTCGGCAAACACTTGATCTCCCCCCCCCCCCCCCGTCAAAATCATATAACTCCGGCCCTGCCATAGGCGGATATCTGGTCATATCCGTGGGAGGGCTTAACATTTTTACCATATCCATTAGCGTCAACACATTATTAGACACTTCAACCTGCAAGCTAGTAGCTCTCCTACTTTATTTTAGCTGAAACACCAAATATGTATAGGTTAATATATGAACGTAAATAAATAAATATTTAAAGCTATTAAATTTGTTTTAGATTCTGAGTGAAACGATGAATGTATTGATTTTACAATGATGTGTGTTTTTATATTTTTTTATTTTTTATTTTTTATTTTTTTTGTGTCTGTGTACACGAAAAGTAGTCGAAATAATGCTTCGATTTTCGACTTCAGTATCTTGTTCGATTGGAAAGTGAATATCGTTGGTGCTTGGGGAGGTCAAAATTTCCCAGTAGTTTTCACAAGCGCCGGGAAAAACAACATAAAAATTAAGGAAAAACGGGAATTTTTAAGCAAAATCGATTTTCCAAAAAATAGATTTTGGTTTTTGGTGTAACTCTAAAACAAATGAACGTATATACATGCAATTTTCACTGGTTGTTTATATTTGCATTTTCTATACACGATAACATTTTCAAAATATTTTAATTTATTTTGAACTGTTTAGGTACATTTTCATTTTCCATTTTTTTTTTAGTTTTTTTTCTAAAGATATCAATCAAATTTTATTTGTTGGCTGAAAAAGCTTGAAAATTTAATAGAAGGCTCCTAGTATATTGTTTTAAAGGCAGATGAAAAATATAAAAATCCTTCGTCACAGTTTTTTTTTCTAAGCATTTAAAGTTCATAAATTGACAAAATATGGAAAAATCACGAAAATTAGCAAATTATTTTGAGTTAAATATTCGTAAAAATTTTTTCTTTTTAAATTTAACATATGAAAATGTAATACATGATTCCTTATAAGTTTGTCTACTATTATCAAAAATAAAAGGCCTTAAGAAAGTCAAACTAAATTTTTATGATTATTTGAAATTCAAATTTTTACAACATTGGATATTCACTCGATTTCTCATGTAGCGATTTCCTTATTTTGTTGTAATTCAAAAACGAATAACTGTAGATACATGAATATTTCACTGAATGTTTAAATTAGCATTTCCTATACACCATACAATTTTGAAAATATTTTGACTCTTTTTGAGCTATTTACGGACATTTACCGCTTTCAATTTTCTTTAGTTTTTTTTTCTATAAATATCAATTAAGTTTTATCTGTTGGGCCAAAAAGTGTAAAAATTTAATAGAAGGCTCCTGATATATTACTACAATATCAGTTGAAAAATATTAAAAATACATTGGCACAATTTACTTTTATAAGCATCTAAAGATCGAATTTTGACAAAATTTATCAAATTTAAAATTGAATAATTATTTTGTAGTTAAAAATTTATAAAATGTTCAACTGTTATATCTAAGGATTGAAAATGTAAAACAAGATTCCATGTAAGTAGTCAATTTGCTACCGAATAATCTTAAATATACATAGACACAGTTTATTTTTATAGCCATGTTAGGTTCAAATTTGGACAAAATTACATAATAAAAAACCTATAGAATAGGTAACTATTTTAGTTATTTTGTTGTGATTGTATAATATTATTCGTGGGTACTTGAAATTTCTTAAGTATGCTTTTATATATCTATGATAGTATCACGGTTTGTTGTTGATGTATAACGCGTTGTAAGTACCTAATGGATATTGTGATATGATTAATTTGGGATTTATTATAGGTAAATTTTTTCCTAGCGATTGACGTAGCGTCGATACATTATGCCTTAGATAGCGAAATACTTTAAAGCGCTGAACATTTCCGGTTAGCGTAACAAAAATTATCGATTATCTACTTTTTTGGGGGAGTAATAAAAACTAGTAGCGTCCAGACCACTGCTTGTAGGCAAGGGGGTCATGTTCCATGAAATAAAACAAAACTATAAAAATTGTAAGCACTCTAGTCTCCATAATCGTAATCGATTAGCAGATTTCTGATCAGCATGCAGGAGACGGGCGACAGTGCCAGCGTCGAGCGTCGTCTCAATGTTTATTATTATTAATTACTTTATTAAGACATCTGATTTCCAGAATTAATTCCAGTATTCTAAGAATAGACTAGTTTGGTGGCCTCACGCCCGCGCACACTAATTGTGGTGCCGGGTGCGGGGTGAGGCGGGTCATTCCAGTTAATATCAAATAATTTACTTGCTAAGCACTGTACGAGCTGTCCTCCACCTAGCTAGTAGATATACAATGTAGTATGTACCCGGTAGCCGCGGGCCCGAGACAGTATATTTGACTGCCTTGGCTGGCGTTTTGCGCATGCGCCATTCACAATATTGGATGTGTTTACGCCGCACACCCATTGATATACCACCTCACATGCATTAACATAGGCAACTGTCTCGTCGAGTGTCGATGTCGAACCTCTAGCAGTCTAGCGGTTAGCTAGACGCCTAGACGGCAAGTAAGACGTCGCGCGGCTTAATGCCGATTGTTTCATATCATCGATTCGTTTTATACTTATTTATGTGGTACACCTGGAACGAAGGGAAATCTGTCGGAATGGGACGACTCGTTTCCGTCCCTATCCCGACCCACCCAAATGTTTGAACGCGTGTTTCACGCGTCTTGTGTATATGACCAATAAATTGTTTACGCGCACTAATAATTGTGACCACATGTTGCGTACTGTGGCTTATATGCGCTGTACGACTGCCGTTTGTTGTCGGTGTAACTGTGACCCGTCAGTTCTTGTTGCCGTTCACGGAGCTTT